TTCGCAATATCAACATAATCCGCTAAGCGTAAACCTACGGCATCCTGTAAAATATCTCCTATTTCTTTTATATAATACTCGAGATACAATTTTACAACATCCTTTAAATTTTTTAATATTCCAAGAACGTCGCCATAAGTCGCACGCGTGGCACTTCTTAAATATAGCAGATATTTTCCAATAGCTTCTTTATACGATCCATCAGGGACATTATCAATTTGTTCATCATCTGAATCATATTCGCTAGAGTTTTCTCCACTATAATCAGAGTCATCGTCCATTCTTTTATTTTAAAGAAACCGAAATTAAACAAAATATTTCTAAATCGAAATATATAATTTGAACGTATAAAACTACCGATTACACAAAATATTTTGACATATTTTTTTATTAAGAGAATTGAAAAAAGGAGTGATATTATTTATGAATTTTTAAAAGAAAGTTGAAAATTATCTCTGACATTTGAAAGCAGTATACAAAGTTTGACGGTGTAAATGAAAAATGCTTTATAAAATCTTTCATTATTGATTTTCACTTCTTTAAATTTACTTCCCCACGTAATACCAGATCAAAAATGTTCAAAAGATTATCAATAATGTTAAAAGAAAGTATTATTATTTTTAACAACACAGTATACATACATTTAAAATTCGATTATATCTGCTAACCTCTACAGAACATTACGACTTTGTAAATCAGATACAGAAAAACTATTAATTTTTATTTTTACTTTATATTATTTATTAAATTTTACATAATATATGCGAAATATTTTGTTGAATTTATTATAAAAGATTTTGTAAGACAAACATTGTAAATCATTATTGATAAAAATATTAATAATATTCTTTAGAAAGTACCCACACAGCACTGAAACTTTCCTAAAAATTTATTAAAGATTTACTTGCAAACTTCGAAGTATTTACTTGAAAAGTTTAGTAAAAATGTTGTAAAGATTTAAATGTCCCACTTCAATAAATGTTTAGCGTGAAAATTTCCTGAAAATTTAAAAAAAAATTTTCGCCTACTGTATATAGGCGAAAATTTAATTTAAATTTTCAGGAAAGTTTTAGGTTACATTTTCGCTTATAAGAGAGAAGTTGAAAATTTAATTTAAATGTTCAGGAAATTTTTAAGTTAAATTTTTAGGAAAATTTGACTATAAACATTTATTTAAGTGGGGCATTTGAATCTTTACACAATTTCCACTAAACTTTGCAAGTAAATTTTTCGAAGTTTGCAAGTAAATCTTTAATAAATTTTCAGGAAAGTTTTGGTGCTGCGTGGGTAGTATTATATTGATTTTTTAACTTACATTTACTCATTAAATATAATTTGAATTTATACTAAATTAAAATTTCATTATTATATATAGTTTCATTATTTAATTTCATTCTATTTAATGTTTTTTTTCTTTCCTCAATCTTTAGAATTTTGCAATATTTTTAATATTAATTTACTAATAAAAATTTCTGTATTAAACTTTTCTTCATAGACGTGTATGTGTACATAAAAATCTTGTACTAATTTTTTCAATATTGTTTTAAAATTACCAAATTACCTTACGAGTCTTCAAGAATTATATTTTCACGAATTCTGAATTCTAATATTATTAATATTAATCAAACTTTTCTTTTCGTCTGACAATTAACTGTTTCAAGATTTTTTAACTTCACAGTTGTAAATATTTTGTTTTTTAAGCAGATGATTAGAAAAACATTCAAAAACAAAACAACAACGCAACATTTTGTTTAAAAAATTAAACAATACCACATTCATACACGGAAAGAAAAAGTCCGTCAACCATTAATGGATTAGTATATTACTTTGAGACGGGACTCTTTTTCCGTTGATGGTTACTTAACTTTACTTAACGATTGAAAACGAGTCATGGATTGATTAGAATTCCAGTATGTGACCAATTGTTTTAGATTTAATGCTGAATTGTTATCAATGGCTGTTTGAATGTTTACGAATCATTAGTGAAAGTTTGTGAAACGTTAGTTGACTCGTATTCTAAATAGGCGCTCTTCACTAGCGCATTGTTGCGCAGTGTACCGATGCGCATTTCTTCCGGTTTCTCTATAGTCCATGTGTTTTTGCTGTCTGCTATACATATCCCTATATACTATTATGTGTAATGTGAATACCCGAGTCGAAATTTAGACCCTACTTAGCCTCTGAAAATGTAGGGCTTATTCAGGTTTAGCAGTCGTAAAGTAGGGTCTGATTTCAATACAATTTTTAAAAACTAGACCCTCCTTTGACTCCCAAAGTAGGCTGAAATTTGCCAATCTTCCATTTGGAGAAGCAAAGGAGGGTCTACTTCTAAGAAACCTATACCGTACTTTTATACCTCGTAGACCCTACTTTCATACTCCTAGACCCTACAATTAGAAAAAGAAAAATTTGAAGATTTGCTCAGATTCAATTGAAGCACTAGGGATGAGTAAAAGTGGAATTTTATGTGTTTTATAGCGTCTATATACACGAAGTGTATATAGACGCTATAAAACACTTCAGTATTTATGAATTTGGAGTACTTTTTGCATTTGCAGTGTTTCAAGTAATGCATTAAAAAATAATTCAAAATTTTCTTTTAGAATGTAGGGTCTAGGAGTATGAAAGTAGGGTCTACGAGGTTTAAAAGCACGGTATAGGTTTCTTAGAAGTAGACCCTCCTTTGCTTCTCCAAATGGAAGATTGGCAAATTTCCGCCTATTTTGGGAGTCAAAGTAGGGTCTAATCGTATTAGAATTAGACCCTACTTTACTACTCCTAACACTCAATAGACCCTGAAAATTCAGGGTGAAAGTAGGGCTTAAATTTCGACTCGGGTATTTAACTTAACTAATAATTTGCAGTTGAATTGCGTCTAGAAATTGACCTCGATGAAAATATATTTTCTTTTATATTTCTCGCTAATTAAAAAGTAGTTATTAGTGCAAAATCATTTCTCACAAGTTGTGAAAAATTTTGTTATTTGGTATATAAGAACAGTTCGCTTCTAAACTTAAAGTGTTATAAGTGTGCGTTTCTACGTGTAGTTATTATAAGTGCGAAAATGTGTTGGTCTAAAGCGTCTAAGAGTGTAAATAAAATATCGGAACTGTGCAACGAAAAAAATGTGTTCATTCTGTACCAAATAGTGTCTAAAATTAGGGATAATTCTGAAAGAAGTTGAATTTTTTGAATGCTTTTGATAGTCATAGAAAATTTAATAGACAGTTTTCTAAATTTTAGTGAACGAGTTTTATATATTGATGACAGTTTTCTAAATTTTAGCAAGCAACTCGTCACTGATTGTGACTCAAAGTATGTTATCCATTCAATGATTTTGTGTCCCGTCTCAAAGTAATATACTAGTCTATTAATGATTGACGGACTTTTTCTTTCCGTGTAGCACAAACTACCCTCTCAGAGTACCTTACCTCAATTAAAGTGTACCGCAACTTGAAAATTTCTATCTCTTATTTTTTGTTTTTGAAAAAATTGATTTTTGTATTTTTTGAAATAACTTTTTTCTTTATATTAAAATTTTCATTAATTCTTGTCAAAATTGCAATCCTGACATGAAAACGAAAATAAAATGGTATATATTATATTGAGGAAGCTAAATAATCATGAAATGAACAACTTGTTTCAATGATTGCAACGAATAAAAAAATGGATTTAATAAAAAGGAGTTTAAATGTTATTTTTATTTGACAAAAGTCCCCTTTTTTATATTTTGATTGAAAGTGAAAGTGGAGTGGATGTGGAAGGAAAATAAAATTTGATTTAGTGAAATGAGGTTTTTTAAAACAAAAAAGTAAATAAATAAATTTTTGTATAAATAGACAGAATAAAGGGAGAAAATAAATAGAAATTTCATTTAAAAGGAAAAAAATCGGAATGAATGACACTTGTGGTGTTTTGCTAATCAAGCAGTCACCACTCGTCCTTGGGGTAAAGTGTCTTGTCACGTCTTCAATTTATATGTCGAATGATAAGCTTTTCGATTATTCCAAGTCGACGTGCTACAAAATTGCACCCAAGCGATTTTCCAGGTAGACGATCTTCGACCTCCGTAGTTTCTACACGAGACGTTCATCAACCTTGCACTTAATTAAACTTTCCTCAAGAATCATGGTTGCTGGTAATTTTTTTTCTTTTTTGGATAAATTTTTTTCCTTTTTTGGAGTCTTGTTACTAATTAAGACGGGGAATGTCTTCAGTCGATAACGAAAAGAAAGTAAGTTCTTTCAAACAACAAACTTTAATTTACATCACGGAAAATTCTACCGTTGAGCAATTTTCTTTTTTATTTTGTCTCTTTCAAAAAAAAAAAAAAATTACCGTAATTAAAGGGCGCTATGTAATTGAACTCAAGAAGGAAATGCAAATTTATTTAATATAATTAAGTTCAGTTTCCAATCTGATCAATTACTGTAACTTTTAATCCGCAATTAATTATAAAGTTTGTGTATAGGTACTAATTATTCTATATCGTTCAAGAAAGTTTGTTCTTAATTTTCTTCTCGTTATATAAATTATTTTTCAATCGATTTTTGGAAGTTAGTAAAGTGACTTTTTTGCTATTACTTTTTTGTTTTATTGCTTGCTTGCTTCATTTCTTTTAAGTCTGGTTTGACACCAACTTTAGGTCACTTCAAATTTAATTTATTCATTTATTTATTAAATTATACGGTTGAAACCCAATCGTACATAGTACTAGAGGTGCAAAATCAATCTTTTAAGAATTAATTATTAGATATTGCTAACATCAAATATGAGATTAGGTACTTTTTATTTGAATTTTAATGAATTTAATTATAAAAATACAAAATATAAGTAATAAAAAAATCAATTTCAACGTTTGATGAATTAAAAGACATCGATAGTAAGAATACTTTAAATAATGCATTTGAAGAAATACAATTTCTTTTTAAATCAATTGAATGATGTATGAAAATATCGTATTTAAGTTTTGCGACAACTTTAATTATCATTAGACAAACCTGATTTGAATCCTGGGAACTTGGAACATCCGGACTGACCGACCGGCGGCCGTAGATATTCATAAGAGTCTGATTTAAGGGGAATGCTGACACCGGTCCACCCTGAAAATGAAAATATTTTTCACATTTAATTTTCTTTTTTAAGAATCAAATTCTAAATTTTTAAATTTAATTTTTTTGTTTCAAGCTTCGTCAACTTTAGCAAATTGTAAAGAATTGTTACGTCCGAAGATATAACACAGTCTTTAAAGTTAATAAAAATTAACTTAATATTTGAACCAAGACTTTATGTCTAATAGTTCGGGAATTTTTGTTTTAATTTAATATGTTAAATTGTCTTCAAATTGTTTTGATTAAACTTATTTAAAACAGTTGAGAAAGAAAGAAAAGAAACTAACGAAAGGGTATTATATATATAGTCTATGCTTTTAATAAAGGTCAGCAACTACATATTGTCATAACCGGGTATTTTCCTAAAAAACAATAAAAATATGATCAGCATGGAACTCGGTTTTACAAGCTTCTATTTTTGATCGAATTTAAATAAGAGTGTTGGTCCATTTGTTATTATTTTTTTGTTTGTTAATTTTTGTTGTTGTCACAAAGAAAATTGTGTTGATTTTTTGTGTTTACGATAAAAAAAATGTGGATTAATTAATGTCCTTATTAGGTGCCTTGAATTTATAGTAGGAGGTTCATTAAGAGGAAAGCAAGTTGCTTTCTAATGCAGTGATTTCCACACAGTTCTTGACTAAATCTTGACGAACGCATGGAGGCGTACAATCGAAGTTGAGAGACTTGGTGTACAAATTATGGATGGAGTGGTAGAAGCATTCTCGAGATCATCAGCCTCGATTTGCTCGTTTTCAAAGTACGCCTCAAACGGAAGCTCCATATAAACTCCCTCTCACTCACTCACTCTCTCAGCTTTGCATCGACCTACTTCCGGTTTGATTTCAAACTTCAAACCTCTAGTCACAGGATAAGTGACTGTGTAAACATTGTGCAAAATCGAACCAATACCTCAATATATTTACTCTATTCTCTAAAACAATTTTCATTAAAACTCTGGAGAATTTTTAAATTCTCTTCTGTAAAAATTACTTTTTAAACTCTTGCATAAAAGAACATTTACTCCTAATTTTTTATAGTAGAATTTATACTTCTACTGTTTTCATAACATACTCTAATATACTCTAATTATCAGCGCAGTAGAATTTTCGATTCTTAATGTTAGGGAAATTTAGTAGGACGTAAAAATTTACTCTAAAATTAGTAACAATAAAATTTCTCCATTAAATTTTTAGTTCAGTTTCCCTGAACCTAAAAAAATTTATTCTCTAATAAAAGAAGTAAACGTAAAAATGACTCAAAAAGTAGTAAAATTTACTCCGTAAGGAGTGAAAGTTAATTCAAAATTTTTTTTTTAAATGTGCAAGGAACCTGTTTAAATGAAAAGTTATCATCCAAAGATAGAGACAGGAATAATAAAAGGAGAAGATGAATTTCAACTTGCCAGTAAGATAGCATAGATATATTGTTGACTTTAACTCTCTGCTTGACTGAATACTCAAACCTTGATTATACAGACTTCCAGGTGAAAACCACAACTACTTAATTATACAGAATTCACTTTACAAATTCTCAAATATTTAACGTATTTAATTATTTTTGCAAATAGAGTTAGAGAATCTATTCCTTATTCCTTAAAATGTATCCCAAAAAAAAATTTTGTTGCGAAGTTTACAAATGAATATACCTGAAAAATATTTTTTACTGAAATTAACATAATTTCCTATTTCTTTTCATACTTTATTTCACTGTCAGTTTCAAATAGAATGTGAAGTTTAATCCTCGAGTGATTACACAGTCAGGCTTTGTGTTTGCGCTTACCAGTTTCTAAATAACTTCCATATGAGATTCATTTAGAAAAAAAGAATATTGAGAAAAGTTTTCGAAAGTGGAATTTAATTTTGAACATTGTAAACATATCAAAAAAGTTTTCATCATTTATAAAGTTATATTTTTGCTTATACGAGCTGGTTAAAATGAAAAGTACAGTGATGATAAACTAAAATGATAATGAAAGATAAATGCAGAATGTATAACGTATAATATTATTTTAACAAAAGCAATTATGTGATTTTTATTTAGTATAAAATTATATTTTTTTAAATTTAATTTTTTTTATTAATTTAAGTTTTAAAAACTTAAATAATAATTAAAATACTAAGAAGATTCTAATAATACTTTAATTAAATGAGAATTTTGAATTCAATTTTTCTCTCTTAGACACTATAAACTGTTAATTTTATTTAAAATAAATTTCAAACCAAAAAGTTAATTAATTTCCGAGAAACATTATAGAAAAACTTTTAAAATTGAGATTTTTTGTTAAATAAAAATTGTGTGCAATAACTATTATGTCAAATGCGAGGTTTTTATGAGAAATTAAATTTTTATAAAGTGATTTTTATGTCATAAAGAAATCACATTAAATGAGTTTTATGTCAAACGAAATTTATGTTACATAAATTTTATGTCCAATGAAATTTGTCTAAAATGAATATCATGTCAAATAAAATTAATGTTAAATTTATGAATTTATATAATGTTAAATGGACTTTATATCTAATGAATATAATGTCAAATGAATATAATAAATGAAATTTATGAATTTTTTAAATGTTAAATAAATTTTATGTCTAATGAAATTTATGTCAAATGAATATAATGTAAAATTAAATTTATGTTAAATTAATAAAATTGTTAATGTTAAATGAATTTTATGTCAAATGTATTTTTTGTCCAATGAAATTTATGTCTAATGAATATAATGTCAAGTGAAATTTATGTTAAAATTTGTGAATTTATTTAATGTCAATTGAATTTTATGTCCAGTGAATATAATGTCATGTGAAATTTATGTTAAATTTATAAAATTTTTAAATGTTAAATGATTTTTATGTCCATTGAAATTTGTGTCAAATGAAACTGCTACGTCAAATAAAATTTTGATAATGTTCATGCGTCTCGTGCAAATAGACAGACAATATTTTTTAATGCTGTTTTTGTAACATTAATAACTTAAAAAGAAAAGTTGTGTTTAAATTTTCAAGTTATGAGCAATATACAGACTAAACTAGAATATTTCAAGTTGAACACTATTTTTGCATTAATAATTTCGATTTCGTCTTGATTTTCTATTCGGCACGAGGTCTGGCTTATCAAATACCAACAAATTTCAGGGTTCCTAGAAACTGGAAGTCAATTTTGTTTTTCCAACTCTCTCTATCGCTGGTCGATTTCGTTTCTAGGGCCAGTAGAAGAAAAAGTGCTTTTGAGAGGAGTTTGGAGGGTGAAACGTGTGTCTGAAGAGTAGGAAGAAAGGAAAAAGGGGGAGAATTTGGAAGGAAACGGATACTACCACTTCTTGGGTGCATTGCGGTACCAAAGCACGTAAGCCATTCCCTCGAAGCAATGAGCGTATATTTCGATGGGCAACTTGGAAAGAAAGCCACCACGCCAACGTATATCTGCACCTACCAGACTGGACAGAGATATTAGGTACGATCACTGGACAAGAGAATTCTCCCTTTAGAGAGCAACCACTTTCAAGAGACCAACACCCCTATGTGAACTCTATTCAAAACGTTTCACTCGATATCCCAAAGATGGGAAACTCTAATAGTTTTTAAAACAAATTTTTTTTTCTTTAATTTTCTTATCGCTTTACTGTAAAGGCAAGCGCCTTTATTTCGATATATTTAGTAGGATTTAATGTGTATCGCGTACTGAAGAAAGCTACCTAAGAGTTCAAACTTTTTTTGAGGTTACGTTAGTGTTATTTTTTTCTTAATTGAAAGTTTTTGAGTTTGATTTAAAACAAAAATCAGTTTTTATTAATTTCACAGGCACACAAATTTATATATTTTTTTAGTATTATATCATTAATAGCTGCAAGAATAGTTACGCCCCTCGTTTTTTTCGACATCAAAAAAAAAAAAAAAATTTGTAAAATCCCTGTAGTTCGAAACAGAATCGAGTTACAGCAAAATAATGCATGACAAAATTGTAGCTAAGAAGTCAAGTTTTGAAACGGTCCTAAGCATTTTTTATTTTTTTTTTAAATACATTTTTTAGACTCAAAAATACAAACAGGAATAGTAATGCCCCATTGATTCTTCCTTTATAGCGCGTTAAATATGAGTTTATTGTTTGTTTATTTTGACTTTTATTACGATTTGACCTTGATGTCCTTCGACGTAAAGGTTTCGCTACTGTTATCGACTCAAGACAAATAGTAGAAAGAGAGAAGAATAATAAACGTTTTCTAAGGAATCGTAAGTTTGTTTTCTTGTCTCGTACTGCAAGAAATGGAATATTTGAGTGTTTTGTTTCGATTATTTAGTTATAAAGTTAAAAGTTAGTTGCAGTAATACTTTTGTGACAAAATTCTGCAATTCAACTGTCAGAGGATTTAGGGAAGCATCAGAAAACACAGTATTATTATTGGAACACGAATTATCTCTTTATTATAAAACAAATTAAATTAGCGATAAATATACACGACATAGCGCGAAGGCTTCTCTAAGAGAACTGAGGCAAAGGGGTACAACAAAGACGCCACCTATACTTCGGTTTATGATATAAACGATTTATCGATAAAGCACTTAATCGATAAACAATAATTAAAATATTTCTTACATCAACAAAAGTTAAATGATGTTCAATAATATCTCCTAAGAAATTCGTTTAAATAAAAATTATTTCAAACAGAAAGTATCGTAAATAGATAATTATGCTCGAAATTATGTTAATTCAAAATTTCTTAAAATAAACTTACATAAAAAATTCTGTAAAGTAAAAAATTATGTTAAAGTTAATTAAACAAAACGAAAATACTGAAAAAATGAAAATCGGTAAAAAGAACATTTTTTCAAATGAAATTCGATTAAATGAAATTGAGTTTTCTAGAGCCTATATTAATGCGCAGTATAAATTAATATCAGGAGAAAGAAGGAAAGAAAAAATAGTTTTTCCGAAACGAAAAAACAACTTTTCGAGAAAATAAACTTACTCTCTAAATCTGAATATGTGAA